TTATGCAACTTTTTGACCAACTTTTTGGCCGATTCTATGCGGTCTTCAATACACCGATTGGTCTGTTGTTTCATTTGGTTGTGTTGTGTAATAGATATAATCGACTCTTTACTGCTGTGATGGAGGTTAGGGGCCATCAGTTCTGCCGGAGTCATGTCAAACAGGTCTCCCTTTTTGCTACAACTCGCTCCTGACATGAAGTACTCCTTTCATATACAATACAATTCATTCATTATATTAATTATGTGTTCATTAATTAATTGCTCTACAAAACTAATACATACGGTGTGTGCGCCCTGACTGTCCTGTTAGGCATAGCAATGCAAATTCAAATAGAAACCAATGAATATAAAAATTTAAAATCTTTGTCAACTAATGTTTACCTCATTATCTGTGGATCGATTGGAATCGCATTCCCGAGTACTATAGCGGCTATACTTTGACACATAATAATCAATATCACGACAACACCGTTGACTGCAATCCCATTTCCGTTTATAGTTATTACTCGATGAATAACAGCTTATTTTTAATCCCTAAACACAATTTATTCAACTTTAAGTTTTGGAAACTTTTTACCGGTAATAAGGTATATCATGGATCATGGTGGTGTCTATATATTTATACTACAGGTAGTGTCTAACAGAGAGAGTAGCTGGTGGTACCATTCACACTTATTTTTTACATGTTTTTTGTGCATGTTACAATATCATAATGTACTTATTAAATTACTAATTAATTAATGTACATGTAAACTAAACTCGTTCAATGTCCTTAATGATATTATAATGATCCCAATTTATGTTTAAATGTTTGAAATTCTTGTTTATTCTAGTACTTGCCTAAACAGTGTATTTGTTTTAAGAAAATAATAAAATAACCTTGCACATTAGATTGAAGGGTAATGTTTACTATTTATGTATTTATAAACATTTTTATTAGTATTTTACAATAAACACAGTATTAGAAATGAATCAATAAGTAGTAAATAAATATGCATTTTAAAGGAAGTGATATAAAGGGTGTGATAATGAATGAAATGTAGTGTAGTATCCAGGTAAGTGAGGTAAGTGTTTGTGGACAATACTTACATCGATTCTCTTGCGATGTTTGACCTCATGGTTCCTCATTGTGAAGTACTCGAGGGCCTGACAGTAGTGTTTGGCCACCTCTTCACTCGAGGCGTTCATTAGGCGTTGTGTTTGTGGACAATACTTACATCGATTCTCTTGCGATGTTTGACCTCATGGTTCCTCATTGTGAAGTACTCGAGGGCCTGACAGTAGTGTTTGGCCACCTCTTCACTCGAGGCGTTCATTAGGCGTAAGATTTTGCTGCACCGGTAGTGCAGAGTTCCCGCGTGTCTGTACTTATGGATAGCATCGTAGTTGACAATCGCTGACTCCAAGTATTGAATCGTTGTTTTCGTGTCTTTCGAGTTGTTTTCATTCAAAATGTTTGGATTATCAAAGCGAAGAGTGGCCGCTCTCTCGTAGGCTTTCGCAGCGCCTGACAGACAGATAGACAGACAGACAGATCCGGACATAATATTAGATACGACTCATACAACACATCAATCATTGCATTCATTCATATTCTCAATGCCTCTAAAGTTTTAGTCAAAATTCTGCATTTAATTGAGTTCTTAAAATATAATTTGAATAAACCTATTTTAGTTAATAATCTCATATTTGGTTTGAAGTCTAATCTCATGTTTATTATTAAATGAAATATTAATTAAATTTTAAATACCCATAAAATTTTTCTGTTGATGACATTTATGGGCTAATTGTCCGTATAGATAGATAGCCTTATCCTGTGTCGAAGACTTATCGTTATCAATACTTTACATATTTGAAGTGTCGATTCCAATGCCAATTTTGTTTGCAATTATAGTTTCAGTATTCATATGAAAAAGTAATATGAAGAAAAACATTTTATATTAGGTTTGTTATAATTAATTATAAATTTTTCTTTTGTTTTACGTTAAGGTAAATGCGGTAAGTGTGTATGAAATAAGAAATAATATAGCATTAAATTCTGTATTGTATATTACTGTAGAATTGCTATATCATACATGATCATACTGTTATAACTTATATTAAATACATACTAGTAATTGTCTCAATAAAACTACAAAAATGAAATGCAAAACTTACAAATCCATAATATCTTTCATTAATGTCTTATTAATATCATTGTCGGGATAAGTTTCCAACTTTTTCATAGATTGTTCCCATTTGTGTAACTTTTCATTAACTGCGGCCAAGTTTTTGAGCATTTCTACCATTTCATCGGCGGATAAAACAGACGGTCCATTAGCTGATGAACACTTTGCAGATGTATTAGCAGATTGGTTGGTAACTGAGGACTGGGATGGACTGTTAGATGTAGTCATACTAATCATTGTTCGCGACATTATTGACGAAGAATTCATTTATTTATGAATCAATAATTGAAACAATAATAAGACAAGAAATCATTGAATAATTGTAGAATTGTATAGAAAACAAAGAAATCAAATGTCTTTATGTTTAGCAAAGACTATAGACTAGAAAGTGATGACGAATTGCTATGAATGGCATAATATAATTAATAGTTGTATAAAATGTCGACTTATTTAGTCGACAGCACCAACACTGGCTTAACGGCGGTACTGTACATGTGTAGAGAAATACAGTACATGAGAATTACTCGTGATTATAGTCCTGATTAGATACGTGTATATCATTCATCCTTGAGATACTCTATTATTTTATACCACATTCAATACACTAACCATTCAATTGTATTCAATATTTATATAATATTGTATTCATCAATTTATTTTCTAGTGTATAATTCACATTATTCTCTACCTTACAATTGTACAATGTCAATTATTACCTTAAATAATCTCTAAATTATAAGCTTTTAAACTATGAAACTATGCATGTATCTATTAATGAACCAGGTTGTTCTTGATTAAAAATTTTCAATTTTTGAAATTGAATTTTTAATTTAAAGACTCGATATTAAATATGTTTAAAATAAATGAATAAAATAATGACTAATTACTAACTTCAAAATCTAATTTATTAAATTATTAAAAAGTAATATCCAATATAATTTTTAAAAATTAAAATTAAAATCTTTAAAATTCTTAAGATGATATTATATCATTGATATACTGGTACATTAAATGTATATATTATATATTTTTATATGAATTCTATTTTAATTATGGTAAAAATGTTAATATTTAATTATTTATTTTAAAATATTATTATTAAGTAATTATTATTTAATACCCATTTTACTTAATATTTAAATCATGACATTAGAAAGATTTATTATATTATTTTAGATGTATATTAATGATAATTTATAATTTAATGCACTAATGTTATTGAAAAAACAATAATATTTGTTATTCTCTTCTAATACTTATAGTCTATGTTATGGTTTGTTTAACATTAATAACATTCATTTTATGATTATGAGAACGTTGGATATAAATATTTCATTTTTATGTATTTATTAAATAAAATTACATTCAATTATAACTTATAAAATGTTTTATAATATGTTCATATGATTGGATTAAATTAGAAGTGTTACCAAAATTCATATACTGTACAGCCTATATTGAAAGACGTAAACTAGTGAGGGTAACTTAGGGTAACATGAAGAAAATGCAGTGCATTACAGAAAATGACACTGATATACAGTGAGAATCTGATATAGATATCATAATTTCAGAAAATATGATCATTTGAATAACAATTACTGATATTATATTAGATGTCAATTCAATTATATTAGTATATTGTCAAGACTCGTGTTAACAACGCACCGGTTTCTTATAGTTAATTTAAATTGACCCCTCTCACATATAAGTTAACACGTACTTATTGAATAACGTAACAATGCTAGATAGTCTGGACAAAGTTAAATATTTGAAAGTAATAAAGAAAATGAGATGAAGTTTAGATATAATGTTAGAATTAGAATATATTCAATTAATGTTATAATATTATTGTGATATTAATCTTGTAAGTTATTACATTTAGTATATTGTTAACAGTGTTTTTATGATACGTTGAGTAATTAATCATTAGATAACCAGAGTACTTTTATTAGAAAAACATAAGTTC